GCTTTAGTCTGAGGAAGACCTTTAAGAAGTGCAGACCAGTTACTGCTGGAAGAATGGGTAAAGAAAGGAGAAAGGTAAGCAGTCTTAAAGGAAGTTGACAATTTCTTCTGTAAATTTGTTTTAGAAGCTCAGCTCAAAAGATGTTTGAGAGAGTTCTGCAGGAAAATTCTTAAAGGAAAAGTGTTGACAGGAAAACATTTGTCTTTTTTTTTTTTTTTTAATTTCTTCATTGTATTTCAATTAAAGAACAAAAATCTTACTACTCTTCTTCACTGTCAACAATCAGCATTCCAACTGAGACATTAAACATCTTCCTCCTGCCTTAAATACTGGAATTAAACACACTAAGGAACAGACATATTCACCCTCAGCTTAGGAAGCAAGTTTCTCTACCCAGGACACTTAAATCAACTAATCAAAACAACAGCTATAAGGCAGCACTTGTAAAAAACAAAACCAAGAGCTTCCTCAAACTGCCTGTAACCATGCTAGTCCTACAGCATTAAGACTTGCCATCTCTTTCAATACCAGACCATTTCCTACACCAGCCATTTGCCACTTCATTCCACCTCAGTGAAAAAACACTCGTGCCCTTCTGCCCCCCCCAGAACTTTCTTTCTCTGTCCATTACTATTTAACATCATTAAACATACCCGTGAGCTGCATAAAAATTTGGAGAATACATCAAACAGCACAAAATAAAGTTCATATTGCGCTAGACCACAGCTACTAACCCCCTTATCTAAGGTAAAACACTAAATTAACTTTAAAAAAATTAACAGCAGAAAGGCTGTTATCATTTCTGCCTATGTGCACATTCTACAAAGGCCACAGTTTGATGAACACTTATTTCTGTGGCTTTCTATCTGCATCAAGCCTTTCCACCTCCACATCACTCCTCTCAGTTACACCAGTACAACCAGTGCAAGTGGCTCCATGACAAACCACATCAGGGAACTCATCTGGGTTAAAAACCATCTTTTATTTTAATTCTATTATTTTAACCCTCCCCAGTTCTGTGTGCTGCTAGCCACACGTGTAGCTGTGCCCACACAAGGAAGGGCACAATGCAGAAGTGGGAACAGGCAGCTGGAACAAGCATGGTTTACTGCTAAGAAAGCATGATTGCTACAGTAGAGGATAAGGCTCAGTGGGAGGCACTCTTAAGTAATCAAATATTTAAAAGCAGAGCAAGAGATGTAGGATATAAAAACATAAACATTGCCAACTATTGACATTGCAATGGGACCAGAAGTCACATCGCTGCCCCAGCAGGTAAGCAAAAGCACAAACTCTCCACAAAGTAGTCTGCTATGTGCACCAGGCCAAATATTCCACAAACTGTAAAATAATCTAGGGATACTCCTCGCAGCTGCATATATTCCATCCATCCAGCACTCCAATTCCCACTTGCTGTGAAAAGGAAATAAACAAGCATTCTGTCCAGCCTCTACTCAAAGCCTGTGTTACTAACTTCAAAACATGATTCCTTCTTCTCCATTTTTCTTAGTGTTACTGGATGTCTGTACTTTAGACAGTCTTCGTCAACTGAGGTTAAACTTTTATTCATAATTTACAATGCAGAAATACAGAAATCTCACTTTATTTTTAGCTGATTCAAAGTTGTACTGAAAGTGCTTGGGCTTTATCCACGTTCTACATTGCTTTTATATTCTAGCCAGAGAGAGCTGTCCCAGTCGCTGTGGCTGCAGTAGATGAATTTTGAGCAAGTCATTTTCTCCTCACTGTTAGCACTTCACCCCCACACGGAGCCTCACAAAGAGCTACACAGGAACCTCCTTCTCTCCCCCCTGTGTCAATCAGCCGGCTTTGGAAACAACTACAAGCATGTACTGAAACGAATATTTATTTTTACCTAAGCGATACCTCAGCTCCACAGCTTCCTTCAAAAGAGTAGGGGGAATCTTACCGAAAAAAAAAAAAAAAAAGAAAGAGAAAAAAAGCCCTAAATTAGTCAAATTCTTTTGTGCATGGATGAACAACAGGAAAGCAAAGCCTTGGGGCCTCTGGGGAGGAACCCTGTCCCTGCAGACCTACTCTGATGTGCTCAGGAGATAAGGCTCCATAGTGACACTTAAGGAAAGGCCTGCTCACATTTGAATTTCTGCATTCCTCAAGAACAATTCATGGCAATCACTAACTTTGCAGAGGAGCTACATGAAAGCACTGGCCAATGAATGAGGGTCATCTGCTCTTTATCACAAGGGTAAACCTCATCCTGGCCAGTTTCTAACCTTTTAACCCTGTGAATTCTTAATTTGCACATGAATAATGGAATTCTTGCCAAGAGTGCAACCTTCAGCTTCCAGTTCCTAACTTTAGAAACCAAGACCTGATCTCCTTGTGTGTTCAAATCTTAAACTCTTGGACAGATTAAAGTTATTGGTTTCCCAATGCAACACTAAACATTACAATTCTGAAGCAAAAGATAAGCTTACTGGCAAAAGCTCTGACCAAGCAGAGTAAAAGAACATCCTCGCACCCTGCTGCTACCAGAGACTAAAGACAGCATTTGCTTTTTTCCTCCGAAGAAAGAATGCCCATTTAATGCCTATTCTCCACCTGTTTAGTATGTACGGTTCCTTCCATACCCTGACCACGAGGTAATTTGCTTTCGAAGCAACTGAGAACTGCCTCTGAACACATTTGCAAGCCTAAAAAATCCCCCACAAGACTTCAAATTTTTTTCACTTAAGACCTCTACAAAGTACAGCCAAGACACGACAGCCAGCAGAAACACTAAATGAGATATATAACTAATTTTGCATGTGCTTTCTGTTCTTCAATGATACCAATGGTAAAAACACCAATATACTGCTTTATTTGAAGTTGACAGTAAAGAGATGACATTTTGAAATGGAGCAGACTGGAATACGACCAAAAGGAACGAACTGCTGCATAGGATAATTTCACATTTGGTCACTAGTTAACCACTTCAAGTCAATAACACCTACTGGATCATTATGGATCCACTATCTCTTCAGGTTTTCTCCACCAGCCATAAGCATTCAAAGAAGAAAAAAGGAAACCTTTTGACACAGTCTCAAAGGAAAGGGCAAAAAGATGCTACAAGAGTATTACTGTGATACACAAATGCATACAGTGCTCCATACTGCTCCAGAAGTTCTGAGATCAAGAACACAGTGCTCGACCTGCAATATCTCAGATTTAAAATGATACTAATTTTTCCTCAGTCTCATAGACAGAATCCATCACTTTCTGCTTTGTTTTATACTCATTAAATATGAGATTCCTAGTCTGTTAAGAAGAGCTTTCTTCAGCCTTTTATGAATGGTGCTGACTCTCTGAAAGCTAATGATGTGAATGTAAACATCATCAATACTTTATTTCTCACCATTTAATCAAAAGCATCCAAGAACCACAGAGTCTATTAATCCTATTAATAAGATACCATGATACAAAGTAATAAATAGCCAGTTTTTAAAAGTTTACAGTTCACAGCCTCTTGCAGCATGAGAAATTCATAACTCACTAGGAGCCACCTGCTTCCAGGCTGGTTTTCCACTGCCTAAAGCTCTGGCTCTCTGAAGAAGGCATTTCACACCTTCCTGTGATACCTTACTGTTCAGCTTTTGTAATCCATTCAGACGTAGAGAAGAAAAAAATACAGATGTTAAGAAAAGCCCGAATGTTAATGTGAGTATCGAGTACCAACTGTATTAACTGGTTTCAGATGGAATGTGATAAACTTGTAATTTACAAGTAAAGCCTAGTTTCCACAGAGGTATCAGTGCCACGGTTTAGTGCAACTTGCCACTAAGAACAGGGTTGAAGAGGTCAAAAGAAGCCTTTCCCTATTAAATTAAGTTCATCAGTTAAGTTCTGTTAGTGAGGGAACATGAGAAGACTACGTAAACTGTGTACTCTCTGTTACACTTCCTTTGAAATGACTCCAGCCTACTGGCAAAGCTCTGCACTGTCATGAGAAAGGCACAGCATTCATTTTGCAGCGCACATCTCTTGTTCAATACATTCAAAGATGGTAGGAAAACAGAGGCCAACACACACTCAGGGTCAGACTGTTAGGGCTGTAATAGCACTAACATGCAACTATTCCTCTCACCATTCATCCAGCGTAAGGGCCTGGCGTGCCCTACAGTCATGACTCTTGCTTCCCTAATGGCACAGTGTAACAGGCCCTTATCATTGGTCCCAGAGGACCCTGCAGTATCTCCAGATGGAACAGTACCTGTGTCTGCTTGGCTGAACACAGGCATCACAGAATCATTAAAGTTGAAAGAGACCTCCAAGATCATCTAGTCCAACTGTCCACCTACCAATAACGTCTGCTAACCCATATAAGTACCACATCTCCATGGTTCCCAAACACCACGAGGGACAGTGGGCAGCCTGTACCAATACCTGACCACACTTTTGGAGGAGTTTTTCCTTATGTCCAGCCTGAACCTCCTCAAGAGCAACTTGAAGCCATTCCCTCTCATCCTATCTATTGGAACAGTAAGGATTTGGTAATTCAGTCTTCATGGAGGTCTTGAAAACCATTCCACTCCTTCCCATCTCAAAGACAGGCAACTCTATTATCATTCTGCTCTGGCCCCAAGATATCCCCAAGACTGCTCAGCACAACACCAAGCTATTAGACCAGGAAAAGAAAAAAGATTAGATTTGTAGGTAACCGTGGAAAAGCTTCACGAATGGCACCTGAGAAACAAGACCCAAAACTTTTGTAGCAGGTTGCCCTCATGCCAGCAAAGCTCTGCACTGCGACTTGCACACACACAAGGCACCAAATCCATGAGACCCCCAGTGTGGCTGTGCCTCCCTGCCCACCCCAGGGCCGTGACAAGTTTTGTTCGTAATATTTACACGTTAAAAAGAAACAAACCTGCAGGATTCACCTTTTCAAGCACACAAACATCAAAGCTGTAAGTCGCTTTGCACTGCTGAGGAGCTTTAGCCACTCGGGAGCAGGTTAACAAACAAGAGCTGGCACTTACTTGCTAGAGTAAGGTGACTTTTTTGACTGAGAATGGCTCCATACTTGTTCAGAGCCAAGCACTGGTAAAATCCTTCATCAGACTGCTCTCCTTTCCTTCCTTCCACCTCACTGATGTACAAAGAGCCATTGGATAAGGTGTAGATCCTTTCGTTTTCAGACACTTTGCCTCCATTTTTCAGCCACGTAATTGTTATAGGAGCTTCCCCACGGGCCTGGCAGTCTAACACCACCGCATCCTTCCTGGAGGCAGTCACATCTTGAGGCTCTCTCACAAAGAACAGTTCGCTAAAGCACCACACTCCTGAGGGAGAGAGAAAGACGTCGGCTGTAGGGACGGAGCGCACTGCGAGCTGGGAGCAGCAGGCACAGCCAGAGCTGCAACTCAGCTCACTGTTAACGACTGCAAGGAGTTCGGGCCCCCGCAGCCGCACCCCAGAACCCTCGGGGAAACCGGCGCTGCGGGCTTTGGGTCGCATAAAGCCGTCGGGCTCTGCAACGCCCCGACAGCTCAACGCAGCCGCGCTCGCCACGCGGGATTCAGCACACGGCCCCGCCGCGCCCTATCGAGGGGCTGCCGCACAGGTGTCGGCTTCGTTTTGCCGGTACAGCTCCGGGCAGCGAGCTCGCTAATTTTACAAGCCTGTCAAATGAGCTGGAGCGGGGCGAGTCGTAAAAGGTTAATTTTACAAGAACTCTTTGGCGGAACCCTCTCGGGCCGATCGCCGGCCCCCGAGGGCCTCCCGCCCGCGGCCCTTCACGCACCCCCGGGGCCGCGAGCGCGTGGCCGCTCACAGCCGCCCGCGGCCCACGAGCGCCTCCTGCCGGCGGGGCGCCGCCCGCCGCCCCGCACCGCCCGCCCCGTCGTGGCGCGGCGCGAACAAAGCGGGGCCGCGCTCGCGCTCTCCCTCGCGCTCCGTCTCTCTCCCGCTCCCGGTGCCGCGCGGGCGCGGATGTCGGATAAATAAAACCACGTGCGGCCGCGCGGAGCGGACAATGGGGCGGCGGCGGGCGCGTGCGGACTCACCTGGCATCGGGAGGAGCAGCGCCCCGAGCAGCGCCCGGAGCAGCGCCATGCAGCGGGACGCGGCTGGCATGCCCCGCCGGCCGCCGCGAGAGAGCGGTCAGCGGCCGAGGGGAGGAGACTGGGGGCGGACGGAGCGGCCCCGGCGCGCCCGTCCCGGCCCTACTCTCCGCATCCCGTCTCCATTGGCCTTCGGGGAGGAGAGGGGCGAGGGGCAGGGCCGGGCGGCCGGGGGGAGGGCCGGGCTGGACGGGGCGGGCTGCGGCGGACAATGCCCCCGGGGCGGGGAAGGCTCGGCCGGGCGGGGGGCAGGAGCCGGCCCGCTCACGAGGGGCGGTGGAAGGGATGGGGGGGAGCCGGCGCCATCTGAGCTGCTTCCAGCGACCCCCAACCCGCCGGGCCCCGCGGGCGGCGCTCTGCACGGGCCGCGCCGTGCGGCGATCCACCCCAACCCACCCGGAACCCTCTGAAACCGGGCCGTCATCATCTGCAAGTGGGCCGGGCGCTCCTGCGGTGCCCGGTTGCAGGTGCGGTGCCGCCCGGTTCGGCAGAGCGGACACGCGGCCCGGGAGCCGAAGCCCGGTCTGATCGCAGGCACCCGACGGCTGTCATCAAACCAAACGCTGCTGGTAGCGTTTAAGCTCTCGGCTTCACCCGTGATCTTACCCCACGCTGGCAGCTGATTTGGAAATGGGGACTCTAAGCTCTTTTTTGTCTGTTCAGAGTTATCGTTTCTAAAGTTACCCTGTATGGAAGGCATCTTCTTACTCAGCAGATTTGCCCCCTGTTTGCATTCATTGTGAGAGCTGCTGACGGCAGGGATGGGCAGTTTGTACTGCTGTTTGTACTGCTTTGTGTTCCTGCCAGCGCTGCAAAGCTCCCGGGAGCCGGCAGCCAAACCCTGTCCTGCTGCTGCATCATCACCGGGCCACAGCCTCAGCTCCTGACTCTGCTAAAAGCCCCCAATGGAACGGCAGGGCTGTACAAACACGGTGCAAGCCATAGCTCACCTCCATCCCTTTTCTTACTCGTCAGAAATACCTGAGCAGATGGTTTCGGCTTCTCTGATCTTAGCATGAGTATTCAGGAAAGGTAATTAGGAAAGACGGGTTTTGCATGCAAGTTACAGCTACCCAAGAGGTGTCCGGGTAGTTTCACACTCACTTCGCACAGCAGAATGGCACATCCATCATTTTGGTGTCCAAATAGGAGTAGATACAGGATCAGGACCCACTTGGTCCTTTTGAAACTTCCTCAGTGTTTTACTTTATCCAGTCACAAAAAAAAAAAAGTGTGAACTAGAAAAAAAAAAGAAAGAATCATTTACTAGAGCTCAAAAATAACCTAAATTGCTTATAAACAAAGTTCAGCGTTGCCTGTGGCAAGCTCACACCTGTCTGCAGCCCATTCCATTACTTGTACTTTCTCCTACTCAACTTGAATTAAAGATTTGATGGAAAACAAACATGCTGATGGGAAAGTTTGAGGTCTGCAGGTCCACAGTTGCCCTCCTAGCATCTGCAGGGCACCCCATGACCCACTCTACTGCTGCACCACTGTTGTGCTCAGCACTACACTGTGTTCAGGGAGAGCAAATAACACTGGGGTAAATAGGTAAAAAAGGGATTAAGTTGTAGTCACAGCAAAAAAAACATTCAATGTATTTTTATCTGCAATTTCCTCCTCTGACACTATGTTAAAATTAGGTATTTTTGAACTATGTGGGATTCACCTCACAATTTGGGGCGTTCCCTCAGAAGTTGATGAGCACAGTGCACAGCACGATGGCCCAGGAATGCACTGCACCTCACAGCACAGTTGGAGTGAGGAATTGTGCAAAACTACTGGGGTGTCAAACGGAACACTTACAAATAAAGCTCATAAAACATGAAAATGGAACTTAATATTTTTGCAATTCTTCTCACTGAATTTAAATAAATGATATTAAGAACAATTCCATGGCTGAGGCACTTAAGGTTACATGAAAGTAAACAAGTAGATACAGTCGATGCTTTTGAGACAGTCTGATGAAGGCCCAGGAGTACACACGTTTATGCTGTGATACAAAAGTGCAGTCCTTTTCAGTGCATAACTACCAAATATTTATCAGCAGGCTTCATTTTCCATATGGATTTCCCATTACGGCAGATGTAATCTGAGACACGGTTCTGATCTGTTCCGAGGTGATGTATTGCTTCCAGCCATCACCCCTGCGTGTCCTTCCCGAGCAGCAGAGCGGTGCCCCCAGGCAGGGGGTCAGGGCCCCGTGGAAGACTTTTAGGCCGGGCCCAGGGGCATCGCTCACAGCGGGGCTGAGTGGGACTGACTCCCCAGCAGACACCGACCTGAAGTGAATACACAGAAATGGAGTGCCACGGGTGCTTAGCATTGTAGTTTGAGGCAAAAGAATCACTGCGGTGCAGAACTCCCAGCTCAGAGCACAGTCCCACTCTGCTGGGGAGGGATACCTCAACTCCAGCCACCGGCCCTTGTCAGGACAGGCTCTGGTCACAGTGGGCAATGGGGCAAATATGCTTTCTGGAAGGGAGCGGAGGGAGAGCCCTGTCCCCACTCAGCCCTGTCTTCACTCGTGGGTGGTTCGCATTCATTGCGCTGTCTGTGCTCACTGCCGCTGCGCTGACACTGCTTTCTGTCTGCCCGGACTGCTGTGCCAGCAGGAGGTTCTGGCTCATGAGATCAAATGCAGCGTTTGTCTGAAGTGGATCAGCAAAGAATAGTGCGTCCCTTTAGGGCGCTCCTTGTGCCTGTTCTAGGCAGCTGCAAGCAACACCAATATTTCCATTTTCATATTTCTCTTGAGCGAACCAGATAAATTCCATACTAGAATAAAGCAGTGCTGTAACCAGATCAGCACAGTCTCCCTCCCTCATTTGTCAGATGTTTTTATCTTAACACATTTTCCAGTAATTAATTGCCTCAGAGATGGTGCAGACTTGAGATAACATATCTAAATTCATATTTCGCCACTGGCTGAGCCACAGTTTAAAGGCACTGCCAGCCATACTTTGTCAAATCCACCACGTTAGTAAGTATGGAGCCAATAAACATAATTACCTCCTCAGCTCACAGCATCGCAGAACTGTTATCTTGAGAAAGGCACAATGACAGACCACAGGGTACAAGATAATGCCAGCCAACACAAACAAATCCATGCCTACTTTGCTCCAGGGCAGCAGTTTTACTCCTCTCATCAATGCAGAATTTTTCACTTGTCTCGATTTTTATTTTTGGCAAGTGTGAGAAGTTATGAAAAACCTTCCTGATTCTGTGGTTCTTTCCAGGTCCATATATGTTCTCTCTCCAATTTTTGTGTCTGTAAGTGAGAGGCACACATCTTTCAAAGCAATAATACCTTGTAGTAATTCAGCAGTGACCTCCTCAATGCCTTCAGACTTTGGTAGTAAGAGTTCTCTTTAAAGGTTGCTCTCAACAGCTGGAATAACAGCATGCAGCTTGTGGATTACCTGACTTACCTTACGCTGCACTTCACCCTCAGCCTCAGTCCTGATGAGCACAGTCTGTACATTTCCTGAAAAGAAAGATTTTAAAAATCAGACTGACAGGAACTGATCCAGCTCAAGTCTTTGTTCCGGTGTTCTGTGCGTGTGGCTGCTGAACGGGGTGAAGATGCAAAGTCCAGAATTTTTGTCATGTTAAGAGCCAGCAGGAGAGACAGGAACTTTCTGACAGTCAGTGAAGTCCCATGACCATGATGCTTATAGGCTTTGTCTGCCAGCATCTCTAGAATGAAAGCAAACAGGCACAACTCTTCACTGGGATGGCATGTAGCAGTCTCAGGGAAAGGAAAGAAACTGAAAATTCACCTGGAAATGGGTTTTCCCTTGGTGAACTCCATATTTTCAAGACCTCAGCAGCCACAACAAGGCACAGATCCAGGCTAACAGTGAAGAATATTGTTTCCTTCTAGGTTAGAGCAAGTTTTTCTGTGGTTTTAAACCATTTACCTTGCTTGCAGTTTGAACCAGATAGAAGCTCACTATTACCGTGGTCAGTTTTGCACTGAGCAGTTCAGCTCAGCTTTCATTTCAGTTCAGAAACCTGAGAAGAAGGAATAGCACAGTGTTGGCTGTATCATACTGGTGCTCTGGGAAAAGCCATCACAGCAGCACTGACTGTTTGGCCCGGACACAACACCCAAGCTGAAGACCAAATCTCATTTTAAACTAACATACAAACACCCAAGCCATCAAAACTGCTGGTCCCATTGATCCCAGCCTGCATATTCAACCCTTCCCCACTGCCACATCCTGGCTTGCCCCATGGCTGGAGCCAGAAGCACCCAGGAAAGAGGATGGCACAGCCACCTTGGTACAGCTGCCACTATATGGGAACTGCAGACATCTCTCAGAGCAGCCTGAGAGCAGCGGTAATTGCCAGAGCCTTTTTAACTGCAGGAGAATTACAGCAATTTGCACTCAGCTCTGCCTGCAGCTGGTCAAGCCCTCAAATCCAGCTGATGGCAGCCGCATCTGCAGTGCTGCTGGTGCAGCGTCGCTCCCTTCTGCTTACAGAAACTCCTTTCTTCTTTACAGTTCTCGCTCTGAATGTTTTTGATCTGGTGTCACTAGAGGCAAGCTTGGCCACTTGCTTGTTGCTCATGCCAAACTCCTGATCCTATTACAACTGTATTCACAGATTTACAATATGTTAAGCCAGCTTCATTAAGACTCACCATACAAATGTTTGCTTTCGGCACATTTGGTCACTTAGTGGTTTCTTGCTTCATTCCCAACCCATGTACAGTTTCCATCTCAGCTGCTTTCTCAAAGGAGGTTCACTCCTTCCTGGAGCAGATGGGCAAACACACCTTGGGCTGAGCCCTTGGGATGCTAATGAACTTTCTCTCCAGGGAGCCTTCCTGTACAGGAAAAGCACACCTCATCGACAAAGGGATTTTAACAGATCTTGTATGGTTTTAAACCAACAAACACCAAAGTGGAAGAAATCCATTTATTTGCTACACTAGTCTTTTTTTTTTTTTTTTTTTTTTTTTTTTTTCTCCTTCCAGCCACCTTCTCCAATACTGATCTGCTGGCCCAAATTAAGGGTTCTGCCTTAGCCATGTTGCTTCATAGTGC